AATGACTGACTGATTAATGGGTAAATTTTATTCAATAATACAAGTGGCAATGGACTAATAAGTGTACTAATTTGATCATTGTAATTCTACCCATTCGTATTTGATACAGTGTTTTCATTCTCTATCTGATGAACCAAAAAATGTATAAAATTTCAAGCTATCAGAACTGATCACAGTAATCTACATATAATCCCCTTCCAGAGGGATGGACAACAGAAAAGTGGGTGAAGGGATGCAGCGGTCTGTGTAATACATGAAAAAAAAAAAAGATAAATTATCAAGGGTACATGAGGGAGGGAGGGGGGAAATAAGCTGATACCAAGGGCTCAAGTAGGAAGAATTTTTTTTGAATGATAATGGCAACTTATGTACAAATACTTGACACAATGGATGGATGTATGGATTGTGATAATAGCTGTAAGAACCCCTAACAAAATGATTATTTTTAATTTCAAGCTATCTTCCTCTACCTTTTCTATTTTCAAAGGAGATCAGTGATTCCGGCGATTAGTTAGTGTAATACAATACATAAATTGCATGACTTTATTTTTCCTTTTTAGAATCATTTTATTGGGGCTCATACAACTCTTATCACAATCCACCCACCCATCAATTGTGTCAAGCACATTTGTACATTTGTTGCTCTCATCATTCTCAAAAGATTTGCTTTGCACTTGAGCCCTTGGTATCAGCTCCTCATTTTCCCCCTCTGGCATGACTTTTTACATTGCTCTAGGAAGGATGTAGTGTCTAGATTATTTGGCCTGGAGGGCCGTCTATGATTATTCTGCCCACAGGGTCATTAAGACATCCCACAAGATCATTCATGCGTCGTAAATGCTATTCTTATTGCTTTATCTGATTGTCATAGTAGAGATTTACATCTTGTGTTTGTTATTTTTTCTCAATAATTTTAATTGTTTTCATTGCTGATTTGTTTCTTTTCAATCATTTGTTTACTTATAAACTTAATTAAGATTTATCTTTTAACTTGATGCCTTTTCAAATAAGTGTATCTTCCTTGATGTAAAATATGTGTCATATTCAATTAGTAAAATATAGCATTTTAGATTAGTAAGCTCATTAGTAAACTACATGATAGAATTTACTGTATTTTAGGCTGCTAGATGAAAATCACTATAGGAACTGAGTTAAAACTTTTAACTTGTAATGAGAGTAACAATACTAGGAGGGAGACGGTGGGGAGAGGTGGGATGGACCACACACTACCACCACCCCAGGAAGACAAACAACAGAAACCATGAGGGAAAGGAGACAGTCGGTGTAAGATATGAAAATAACCATTAAAAAAATAAATAAAGTATTAAAATGTAAAAAGAAAAAAAACAATTTATAATTTATGAAGGGGTCACAAAGGATGGAGGGAGGAGGGAGGGAAAAAGGAGGAGCTGATACCAAGGACTCCAATAGAAAGTAAATGTTTGCTGACTATCAAAAGATATAGCGCCTGGGGTCTTAAAAGCTTGAAGGTAAACAAGCGGCCATCTAGCTCAGAAGCAACAAAGCCCACATGGAA